CCGCGACCCTCAGATTGTGAGTCGAGCGCCTTATCCACCTGGCCACGCCGGGCACTTTTCAATTACCTTTGATTATGTTCTTGCTTGTTTTGTCCATATCCTAATATACATAAACATATATGTGAATATTAACTATTCTTATTTCCTAACTAAGATTTAATCTTAACTAATCTCACAGAATATCACTGAAGACGGACTGTGAGTAATCCGAAACATCTGAAATTAACGTTTGTTTTTACTGTAGTTTTCCTCTTCGTAATTTTGCGATTTTTAACATTACATAAAAATGTGCCCATATTTTTTTCGTTTTCAAACAATATCTATAAATCTGTTAAAGTTCTGTGTTTTAGCAACTTATGATAATCATACTTGACTTCTGTTTTTACTGTAAGATTATTCTAATCTAACAATTAAACCCTGTACAGTGGCTGTATACGAGTGGTTAAAAAGTACTTGTTGTCTAAAGTGTATGGATAAGTTGTAGGACGCAGTATGTTGGCAATGACAAATTTTGAAGTGTTACAAGTGAAGATAAAAATATACATTTCTCAATAAAGAGACTTGCTTGAGAGATAGGACGAGCGTGATATTGATGTAATTTGAGTAGTTAAAAATTCTGTAGCTCAATTGATAAAAGTTTTTACTTCATCTGTTTTTTAAGGATTCGAATTACAATATGTGCTGTTGTATTTTCTGTTGGGAGGATGAAACTAAAGGAATGAAACGTCAACACGCATTTTTCTTAACACCAAGTCAATATCACTTCCTTCTATGACAAATTGGAACGAAACGTGAAGACGCATTTTTCTTACCCCCAGAAAACAGACTGTCACTACAGATCTCTTTAAATGTCAGTAACTTGTGGATGTGGTAGCTCAAATCTGAAGAAGTTTCCGTTCTGTGTGTTTAATCCAAATGTCCGCTCAGTGGTAAATTTTATAAATTATAACATAAAAATTCGGGATTCAATCCCTGCGGTTGGCATGGCTCATTGTGCAGCATTACATTTAAAAAGAAAACAAACAAACTCTTCAAAATTATTGTGTTGTTTATATGAATAAAGAAATCGCAAAACTAAGAAGGAAGAAATGTTTAGGATTTAATTACCAACTTCATTATAATACCTAATCTAGAGCGGCTCAAATTTCAATTTTTCCACATTTGGTCATTTGTTTGGGCAACGCTTCTGTGTAAGCAATTTCATGGGAGTCATCACTAAATGTGGTTTGCAAGATATCTTAGCAAACACAAAAACGGTTGTTCTGTTGTAAAACACAAAATGTTGTAAAGCTCCAGAGTGGGCTGTGCTCTGCCCACCTCGGATATCGAAACCTCATTTTTAGCGTTATAATCTCAGAGGCTTACCGCTGAACCACCGGGGGCTAATAAAAAAATGAATAATTTATGTTCATGAAGGCACTGCTTGTGAAACATGCCTAATATCGTGGAGGAATATCTTAAACTTGTAGGATCGCCACATTTAAACAGAAAATAGGAAGTTAATTGTTCGCTTGAATGATTATAAACGATCTTTGTTTTTATTTGAACTATTTCTGCTCCGCTGCTCACTTCTTTTAACCTAAGGCGATATCATATGTGAATAAAGGTAGATACTCATTCACATAGGTTAAAATGCCTTCAAGGCAATGATAAGAGATCATGATGTATTTCGAAAGACGAATGATCAGTTTTGTTCCACTACCAACATTTTACTTTTGTTTTGGGCAATAAATTGCAATTTTTCATCTAAACCATTGTAATTATACTGTGATATAAATTGATACCAACTTGATTCTAATAATCTTAAGTCTATGAAGTTCAATTATCTTTCAAATTCGATTTTTTGCAATAACATTATTTAGTTAGAAGTAGTACATTTTTTCATTAAAATAAACAATTAAATGGGTGTTGATCGGTGGGAATAAAAGATATTTTTGTAGCATAATATTCTTAATTTTGCCCTCTATTCTTTTTTATTATTCAACTCTTCCATTTTGTTTTCATTTGGCTCTTTACAGTTTTTATGGTTTCGGTACTGTATGTTTTTTAGCCTTTCCTGAACCTATTTTTAAAGTTTTATTATTTATTTGACAATATCTGTTGCAGTTTTTGTTCATTTTCTATATTTTCTTTTTTTAATTTATTGATTGACGGTTTGATATTGGTATATCTGATGATTTATGGGCCGAGTTTGACCAAAGGATTTACGTCCCAGAGTATGAACCTACGAGTCCAACGTCGCGTTCCGTTACTGCAAAGAAAACAAAGCAAACGCGATCCGCAATTTGGGACCGTGTGTGCGTTATGAGGGTGATGGTCAACCTCACTATTCCGTCAGTCAATAGTAGCCTAAGAGATGATGGTGAGTACTATTGACTATTTGTAATTCCATCTGTCCTTCTGTAGCTTCTTTCCTCCACCTTTTGTACTTTCATCTCCTTCTTCTCCAGCTTCTCATTTCTAAATATTTTTGCCCGGATGCTTCTATTCTTTAAGGTTCCATTTCTTAAGAATATTATCCCGGATTATTACATTCTTTGTGATACATACACTTATTGATGACTTACAAGATGGGGATGGATATCGATGCAACTATTATGTAAATAAATTAACTCGTTAAAGTTATTACGTGAGCGGAGCTGAGATGAACCTAGCCATCATCCAAAACGTGGTAATTAGTTCTGAGCTGAACCAAGCCATCATCCAAAACGTGGTAATTAGTTCTGAGCTGAACCTAGTCATCATCCAAAACGTGGTAATTAGTTCTGAGCTGAACCACGCCATCATCCAAAACGTGGTAATTAGTTCTGAGCTGAACCAAGCCATCATCCAAAACGTGGTAATTAGTTCTGAGCTGAACCTAGTCACCATCTAAAACGTGGTAATTAGTTCTGAGCTGAACCAAGCCATCATCCAAAACGTGGTAATTAGTTCTGAGCTGAACCTAGTCACCATCCAAAACGTGGTAATTAGTTCTGAGCTGAATCACGCCATCATCCAAAACGTGGTAATTAGTTCTGAGCTGAACCAAGCCATCATCCAAAACGTGGTAATTAGTTCTGAGCTGAACCACGCCATCATCCAAAACGTGGTAATTAGTTCTGAGCTGAACCTAGCCATCATCCAAAACATAGTAATTAGTTATAAAAAGGCAGGATCAAATTTTGTTCTTAGCTTCATTATCTCGAGGATAGTTTTCTGTCGCATTAATTTAAGGACAGTGTTATATCATAGATCAGAATTAACCCGTTTCCTCCGATACGTTCACGAAGGTTCTGTTTAAGGTAGCATGATACATTCTGTATCAAAAGATGCAAAACACAATGGCACGACAGGTGGCGGCACTGCTACATAAACACATCTTTGGGTTACTTTACTGAGTTTGACGGGAACATCTGTTCTTACGTGCAACATAAAACATAATAATTATACGCTTTACCCTAGGTCTCCACAAAACAGCTGGTGTTAAAGTGTATCGTCGGACCATCTTGACTGTAGTAGAGACAGTCTTTTTCTAGTGATTGAGTACTCAAATCTAGTACACCATGCCCCAATGACTGCGTTTTGGCCTCAACCCTTCACAATAAAACAGTGGGCTTGTACCGGGCCATTCAGCAGTCGCTCTGCCGAACGGGGCACGCCCTTCATTTCATTTTCGTTCACTTAAGTTGATTTCTTATGTAGAAACCCTAGTAGCGAGAGTCACAGTCGTTGTCAGTCAGGGCTGTGCATGGTTCGTGTTTGGTTTTGAAGCAGCGGTAAGTCTCGCTCGTCTTGAAAATAGACCTTGGACAAACAACGGCGAAAGTGATCAGTTTGTCTGTTGGCACGTACAGATTTACGTCACTAGACCTTGAGGTCGCCAGTGTTTTTTACCGTTGCGGACGCCTCCAAGCGTCTCTTACCTGCCTGTTGCCAACACGAGACGCAAGCAGTTGGAAAAGTCGTGTTTTCCGTTTAGCCCACTTCCGGTGGGTCGGAGAAAATCACTTGCGCCATCGATCCATAACTGAATAATCCGATGGCCCCGTATGAGTTGACATCAGACTTTCTTCTGTTCCGCTGCAGGAGTGTGTTCTTATGACAACTAGCAAGTCTCGTTGAAGTCGGATTTAGCCAGACGTACCTGGAACCAAGCAGGGCGGATATGGCTCCTGCCTTGACGGTAAGCACCTATGAAAATGTTTGTAGCTACATGTTTAGATTTTGTCAGGAGCTCACTACGTCTAAGTTTAGCACAGGTCCTGTCCAGGGGTTTGTGCTGTTGATCATAGACAAGGAACCCACTGGGCAACAGTTTTAACCACCTGTATGTAGTGCTTATATGATGATATTTCGTATTGGATCTCTTGGGAACTGAAGAAAAGTTTTTCGTGTATAAATTACACTTCCCACTACACTTCCCACTATAAATTACACTGTTTTTAGCTACTTTTATTTTAGCATGAACGATAACTAGAACGGGTATTGAAATTGTATAGAAGACGTAAAAATATTCCTTCAATACAAGTTTCAAACTTTTCACAGTCTTTGGTGATTATCATTTCTTTTTTGGAATAACTGAACTTTAACTAGAAGTGGTGTCGAGTTTGTATAAAACACCTAACGGTTTTACTTCAACACCAGCTTCAAACTTTTCAGTCTTTGGTGATGACCACTTCTTTCTTGGAGTAACTGAACTATGACTAGAAGTGGTGTCGAGTTTGTATAAAACACCTAACGGTTTTACTTCAACACCAGCTTCAAACTTTTCAGTCTTTGGTGATGACCACTTCTTTCTTGGAGTAACTGAACTATGACTAGAATGACTAGAAGTGGTGTCGAGTTTGTATAAAACACGTAACGGTTTTACTTCAACACCAGCTTCAAACTTTTCAGTCTTTGGTGATGAACGCTTATTTCTTGGAATAATTTATCAAAATCACCCTATTTTTAGTGCTCCAGAGTTCCTTAGTTTGAATAAAACCTTATATTTTTGTGTACATTTTTTAAGTGTAAAAAAAAACTTCGACAAACAGAAGCGGTTTTTCCAGTAATTTTTTCTAGTAGCAAATAAGTTAAACATGTATTGTTTATCTAAAAGTACTTACTTGGTCTACTGGAGTATGGTTCCATCTGGTTCATATTGTTGAATTCGATGACAAGAGGGTTTTATTTCTTTAAGTCCAGGGGCTGGTTGAGAGAGCGTCATTCATCGTTGAATTGTTTTCCATTTTTCCACCACAAAGGTTATATTTAGAAGTACAGTTCTAGTGTGGTCTTGTCTTTTCTCAAGTTTATTGGATTTCAAATGTGAATCGCGTTTACACTTGAGTCGTGTTGTTTACCAATAAATACTTGTTCTCAAATACACGAAATATATTTAGAAATGTGTTAATATGTGTGAGAAACAACAAAATAATTTAAGTCAGAAAATATCTCGCCTGTAAAATTTCTGATGCAGATGTAAAATTCTCGGATATACGTGTTATTCGTTTAGGAATGCTTTTGAAATGCCTGAATTAATGCATTAGTTATCTGGAGGTTTCTATGAAAGGTATGGGTGTATATCTCATTTATTTGGAGGTTTGTTGTAAATTTCTAAATGCACGTTAGTCATCTAAAATTTGTTTGAAATGTCCATGTATGTATTAGTCTAAGAGCTACCTTCGAAACGTCTGGTTATACGTGGTATAAGTCACGAACTCTCTGATAAATGCCTGAATATAGTAGTATTCATCTAGAGATTCCCATGAAACATGTATGAACAATTTACATCAGAATTATTATTGTCTAATGAATTTACGTACTTCGCTTCCATTGTTGGTCTAACCACTTTTCATTCATACAGTTATATCCTGAGCAGCTACACATAACTTAAAGATCATTTTCTGTTCGTTATTTCATCAGCGTTCCTTGTTTCCTGTATAACATGACGAGGTACACATAGGCGTCACATATTTTTTCCTGTTCATTCTTTTAGCAGTGTTTCTTGTTTCCTATATAACATGACGAGATAAATATAGAAGTAGCACATTTTTTTCTTTTCGTTCTTTTAGCAATATTTATCCTTTCTTGTATATCATGACGAGATAAATATAGAAGTAGCATATTTTTTTCTTTTCGTTCTTTTAGCAATATTTATCCTTTCCTGTATATCATGACGAGATAAATATAGAAGTAGCACATTTTTTCTTTTCGTTCTTTTAGCAATATTTATCATTTCCTGTATATCATGACGAGATAGATAGAATTAGCACATTTTTTCTTTTCGTTTATTTTGTGCTACTTCTATATTTATCTCGTCATGATATACAGGAAAGGATAAATATTGCTTTTTTTTCTTTTCGTTCTTTTAGCAGTCGTTCTTGTTTCCTGTATATCATGACGAGATAAATATAGAAGCAGCACATTTTTTCTTTTCGTTCTTTTAGCAGTATTTATCATTTCCTGTATATCATGACGAGATAAATATAGAAGTAGCACATTTTTTTCTTTTCGTTCTTTTAGCAGTGCTCTTTTGTTTTCGGTATAACGTGAAGAGTTTGACAGAAGTCAAATATATTTTTCTGTTTCTTCTTTTATCGATGTTTTTATTTTCCTTTATAACATGATGAGCTACGTACAGCTGAAAGATACTTTTCCCTTCGTTATTTTACTAATGGTTCTCTTTTCCTGTTTCATACGATTATCCACATAACACATTTTTTGTCCTCGAGGTCACGTTAGTATGGTATGCCTTCCTTTTTTTACTTTCCTTTAATTTATCGGACATCTTTTGTGCATCAGAACAACATCTCTGGAACAAAGTAAGATAAATATGTCGTCTTTCACTGGTTTCGCAATGTCGTTTGTGACCACAAGAAATTCCTTCAACGTCTGACACCAGAAGTGTTTTTTTCAGTTCTTTCGTTGATAGGGTTTGCAAAATGAAATGCTTAAGATGTATATTGCTGTTTTTTTTTTAGGGGAGGGGATGAACTAACTATGTAAAGTGTGAAAATATCAAGCAGCAGGCTATCGTTTTCGTGTTTTTACATGTAAAACTAGTAAACTCTTTTTTTCTAGTTCTGTTGTTGTTGGGACTTGAAAAGTAAAATTTTAATATATGTTTTGTTGATTTTTTTTCCAGATGAATCAACTGTGTAAAGTGTGTAGTGAACCGGCAGCAGGCTATCATTTTGGTGCCTTCACATGTGAAGGTTGCAAGGTAAGTTCAAAATACAGAAAATACAGAGTTCCAGCGACCTCTACTTAACTTTATTCATTAGATAAACGTGTACTACCATAAAGTTTCACAGTTTTTTTTACAATAACACAAACACACAACTAATAGATGACAGATAGGAATAACCTTAAAAACCCGATATGAAATTCTTTTTTTCGTTTATTTTTAAAAGGTGATCGTTTTCTTAACCTTTGAACTGCCCCATAATCTGTCTCTTTCTTAGCTCTTTAGAAGGAAGAATTTTTAGTCAAACGTTTATTTTTAAAAGGTGATCGTTTTCTTAACCTTTGAACTGCCCCATAATCTGTCTCTTTCTTAGCTCTTTAGAAGGAAGAATTTTTAGTCAAACGTTTATTTTTAAAAGGTGATCGTTTTCTTAACCTTTGAACTGCCCCATAATCTGTCTCTTTCTTAGCTCTTTAGAAGGAAGAATTTTTAGTCAAACGTTTATTTTTAAAAGGTGATCGTTTTCTTAACCTTTGAACTGCCCCATAATCTGTCTCTTTCTTAGCTCTTTAGAAGGAAGAATTTTTAGTCAAACG